TGAAGAGGCTGTCTTTCTTTCATTCTATTTTTTTAGCTCCCTTATCGAAGATTAGATGACTATAGGTCTGTAGGTTCATTTTTGGGTTTTCAATTCTATTGCATTGGTCCTGAGGTCTGTTCTTGTGCCAGTACCAAGCTGTTTTGATTACTATGGCTTTATAGTGGAGTTTGTCCATACTCTTTAATTTGGAAGTGAATCACTGTCCAACCACCTTCAATGGAGAAGTTGCCTTCCGAAGAGAGTATCTACATTTATTCATGTTTTATTTGTATTCTGTAAAGAAGTTTCATTTCTTATTTATTTAGTTATTAACAACATAAAGCCTCATATATTTATACTTTTGGTTATAATTCAACATTACATTATTTGTTGTATTCTAATTATTCAGCATAGGCCAAATGTTGGAAAACAACTTGACTCTTTATGATCATAAGATTGAGTAGACGAGGCAGCAAGAAAGACAATATTGATGGAAGAGAGTTCCAGGAATTAAGAGATCAGGGTAAGAAAAAAGTCATCAAGGACTTTATTAGGCATAGCATGAAAGAGTAATAGTGTCACAGAAGCTAATGTATAGAGATGAAGAATAACAGAGCAGGTGTGGAGGGGGATGGACTGATCAATATTAGTTTGAAGCAGGGAGAGGGAGAATATTCTGGAATGATATTACAAAGGGAGGAGAAAGAAAAAACAAAGAAGAAAGGCAATTATTCTTGGCACTCTGGTATTTGAGCTTAGTCTCTTGCTCTTGCTAGTCCAGTGTTATAACAATCTCTAGTCTTTTTTGCTTTAGGTTATTTTTAGATAGGACCTCCCTCATTGCCTAGGACCAAATTTAGACTGTGATCCTCCTACATATGGCCTCCTGAGTAGTTGGGATTACAGGTTTGAGCCAATGTGCTTGGCCTGGCAATCTCTTTAAGAAGGCTTCAGGCAGGGAAAGAAAAAAAAAAAGAAATGAACTATCACATCTAGTGAAGATGCTGAGTGTTTCACTATGTTGTTAATTCCATGGAGACACTTCCTCATCCCAGGATGTGCAAAGAGATATGGGAATATGTGTGTGGGAGAGATGGGTGTGGTCTGGAGGTCTATAGCTTTTTGTGGTATCCAGCATCAATAGGATGAAGGAAATTATAACTGTACTACTAGTGGATTTAGGCAGATGGTGGTAAGACTGACAGTTTCTGGATGGGAGGAACTTCTCTGATTCCTTTGCTCTCTTGCAAAGCTGCTAAACAAGCAAACTCTAAAGATGTGAATATTCATTTCCGCATTCATGGAAAACTCTTCCTGAATACAAGGAGGATAATGCATTTGACCTCTATCAGGTAGAAGATAAGAGGCTTAGGTTACTAGTGAACAATGTACACACAGAAAAATGCACAAGTCATAGGTATATGCCCTGATGAATTTCCACCAAATGTATGTACTTTTCCTATGGACATTCCTGAACATGTTTCAGAGTGCATCAATGCACATTTTTATTGTGGATATTTTTATGAATTAAATTGTTGGTACATAGAACATATATGTATTACAGTTTAGAGGATATGAACTGTCAGAGTTCCAAAATACTGTACTAATTTACATTTATTATGTGCAACTACTCTGATCATTCTTTGTCTTTTCAACACTTGGTATTATCTGTCTTTTATTCCAGCCATGCTTTGGAGTATATGTGTATTTGTGTGTTCATGTGTGTGTTTGCACAGTGAAATTTACTGTATGTCTTAATATATTTTTTTAACAAAGTTGAGCACCTTTTTATGTGTTGTTTCCACCTCATTAAGTTTTTTTCTATTGTGTTTTCTGCCTTTTTCTTAATAATTTGTAAGTATTCTTTATATGATCCATTTATGAGACTGTCATATATATGACATATGTGACTAGTATATACAATTATGAATAACTTTTGTTACTCTGCATTTTAAAATTTAACCCTCACGGTAATTCTAAGAAATAGGTTTTTTTTATGATTACCCCTTTTTCATTGATGAAAAGATAAGTAAGTACCTTGCCCAAAATTATACTAAAAGTAAGCAATAGAATCAAGGTTTTTGGCAGTTCTGCCACAGTTTCTGCTATAGTAAAATATTGATGGAAATTAAGAAACTTAATGTAGAATTTGTACCTCAGCAGCTAAGAAGTATAGATAAAGTTTTTCTCCATAAAACAAGTTTCTAGGTTTACACTTATATGGATGGGTTCATTTAGAAAAGGAGACAATGATAAAGTTTTTACTTGAGATGAAATTTTCTTAAAAGAGACCCAGAAACACAACAAATCAAAGAAAGGTTCGACAAATGAGATTGCATGAAATTGTAGAGCTTCTGCTGGCAAAGGACATGGCTAGCAAGATCAATAGAAAGCCCACAGATTGGGTTTACTATGGCTCACTAGCCATACAACAGACAAGGGTCTCATATCTAAAATATACCTGGAACTTAAAAAATTAAATCCCACAACAACAAATCCTCAAAGAAACAACTGCCCAATAAATAAGTGGGCTAAAGACTTAAAGAGAAACTTCTCTGAAGAGGAAAGAAAGATGGCCAATAGACACATGAAATGCTCAACCTCCCTAGCCATAAAGGAAATGCAAATCATTAACTAGGGATACAGGTGGACCCATTGCAACAATGAGATGTACAAGTTGTTATGTCAAAAAATGAACTTTACAACTTTGGTGGGAGGGGGAGGATTGGGTGGGAGGAGGTGGGGAGTTTGGGAAGGGATGGTAAGGGGAAACAAAGAGGAGGCAACAATGCTTGCTAAGAAATGTACTCATTATCTTGCCCATGTAATTGTAACCCCTCTGTATGGTATTTTCACAGTAAAAAAAAAAAATTAAAAAAATGTAAAAAAAAGGAAATGCAAATCAAAACAGCATTGAGATACCACCTGATCCCAGTTAGAATGGCTATAATCAAGAACTATAATAACAACAGATGCTGGAGGGTTTGTGGACAGAAAGGAACCTTACTGTTGTTGATGGGAGTCTAAACTTGTTCAACCACTTTGTAAAGTAGTATGGAGGTTCCTCAAAAGACTCCACATAGAGCTCCCCTATGACCCAGCAATCCCACTTTTGGGCATTTACCCAAATGATCTCAAACAAGACCATACTAAAGCTATCAGCACAACTATGTTTATTGCAGCATTATTTACCATAGCTAAGATATGGAACCAACCCAGATGCCCCTCAGTAGATGAATGGATCAAGAAAATGTGATCTATATACACAATGGAATGCTATGCCTCCATCAGAAAGAATGACATTGCCCCATTTGTTAGGAAATGGAAAGACTTAGAAAAAATTATATTAAATGAAGTAAGCCAGGCCCAAAGAAACATAGGTCCCATGGTTTCCCTTATTTGCAAAAACTAGCATATGTCTGAGACAAGCAGAAAAGGTCAGATAAGTTGATGTTAGGGGAAATGAACCCCAAGATAAGGATTCAAATGTTTCTTCTTTCTTGCGATCATTTCTAACATATTTATAAGAGATTTCTTTGTTGCTTTGTATGTCCCTCCCCCACGGTATAACCCCTGTTTTCACTGTATTTGATGTTGGTATAATTTGTCAAGGGGAAGGGAAAAAACAAATTATTTAAATAGGGATACAGGTGGACCCATTGCAACGATGAGATGTACAAGATGTTATGTTGAAAAACAAACTTTACAACTTTGGTGGGGGACAGGGGGGAGCATGGGGGGGTTGGAAGGGAAATGGGAAGGGATGGGAAGGGGAAACAAAGGAGGAGGCAACAATGCTTGATAAGAAATGTACTCATTACCTTGCCCATGTAATTGTAACCCCTCTGTATGCTATTTTCACAATAATAAAAAAAAGAAATACTGTATATTTCCTTTAGCTTGCTTTTATTTCATGTTTATATTTAAGGAAAGACCAGCCCCCTGAATAAATATTGTTGAATAAAATCAGTATCCTAGGTATTGTCTCTTTTACTTTTTAAAAACTAATATTAATCTAGCAAGGCAAGTAGGGCTAGCCTTGATAGCTGTCAAAGTAAAGAATTGGAAAATAAATTTCAGTCATTTTAATGCCAATACTCTTAGGCTAATTTTGAGTGAATCTCTTTTTATATTTGCGTTGTGTCTGAATGTCTTATGAAAATTTACTATGAATGATCTTTTTGAAATTATTTAATTAAAAGTGTGGGAAATTTTCATTGTGTGTTTTAGCTGGCATTCCTGAGAGTTGAATGAAAATTTTTGAGCTACTTTCTTCATACTGTATTTATACTTTTGTTAAAATTCTTGTTTTTAAGACTGGGTGCCAATGGCTCACATCTGTAATCCTAGCTACTCAGGAGGCTGAGATTGGAGGAGAATTGAGGTTTGAAGCCAGCCCAGGCAGAAAAGACTGAGACTCGTGTGTGTGTGTGTGTGTGTGTGTGTGTGTGTGTGTGTGTGTGTCGGTCGTGGGACTTGAACTCTGGGCCTAGGTGCTCTCCCTCAGCTCTTCAGCTCAAGGTGAGCACTCTACCACTTGAACTACAGCACTACCTCCGGTTTTCTAGTGGTTTATCGGAGATAAGAGTCTCAAGGACTTTCCTTCCCCGGGCTGGCTTTGAACCGAGATCCTCACATCTCAGTCTCCTGAAGAGCTAGGATTACAGGCGTGAGCCACCGGTGCCGGGCTTGAGATTCGTATCTCTGATTAACCACCAAAAATGGAAAGTGAAGCTATGACTCTAGTGGTAGAGTGCTAATCAAGCATAAAAGCTCAAGGATAGCACCTATGCCTCAAGTTAAAGTCCCAGCACAGGCACACACACATGCATGTTAAAATTCTTTTATTTAAGACTTGTTTGTACACACTGGTTTTAAAAATGAATGTAGTAATTTATATTGGAAAGTATGTCAATTTCAAAATAAAAGATAACTTCAAAGAGTACTTCTATACATAGTTATCTGATCATAAATAAAATATATTCAGATGTTTAACATTTTTCTATGGTAATTTTCAGGTTGAAGGTTTGGAACAGATGTGGAAAGATGTTCACTTCAGAGAAAGGGATTGTGGAGGAATGGTTATCAGAGTATAAGGTAATATTGACTTGCTTTAATAATTGTATTCTTAAAAAAGTTGTTTTAAAATTTTATGACTGAAAAACTAACCGTGAAAGAAGAATGTTCTAATATATCTGAATGGGGATCTATTTTAGTAATCATTTCTAGTAAATTAATTCCTTGTTCTTCCAAATTGTTCAAAGGGTTCATTCATTAGTTTGTTTATTTTCTCTCTCTGGGCACCACCACCAAGAATGATTATGAATGTTGATGACACTCTCTAATGATGATCAATGATTTATTGTCAAAATATCCTTCCCAGAGTGGGAGTAAGGGCAATGGAACTGGCCCTGATTAACAATGAGGAGATGATGGAAAGATATCTGCCCAACTTTTTACTCATGAGTCTTTCATTGGCTACCTCAATAGTTATATTATTTATGTAGAACCTTTGATTCAATGCTGAAAAAGTAAAATTTATATGCTTTTTTTCTCATTACTTCTCTATGATAGTTAAAATTGTATTTCTTAAACCAACCAATTCATTTTTTTTCTGTTCTTATGGTGACATGTAATTAGGGGAAATTCATGATCATAGACCACAGAAGTTAAGAAATGGGCAGTAAGCTCCTTTGTTTCCCCTTCCTAACCCCTCTATATGGTATTTTCACAATAAAAAAAAAAGAAATGGGCAGCAAATGTCACTTTGATTTTGTCTGGTCCAATCAACCTAAGATATTGGGGACAAACATCCAGCATAGTATCAAATTTACAGGTTTGATAAAATAAGAGAGACTTCATACACAGTTGTAATGGGTATATCTCATCAGACAAAAGAGAAAGTTAGTACTGCTTTTGGAAGGATAGTACTCAAAACAAAGCAGAGCTGTATGTAATGGGGAAAACTTTAAAGAGGACCCTGGATCCTATTGTCCTGAAAATATAAAGGTAACACGGATTTGGAATTTGTGTTCAGAAACCCCTTATCTGAAGCCCTTGTAGTTATAATGGAAACCAAAACCTCTTGTGTATGTCAGAATGACTTAGAGTCTGCAGACAAGTAGAGTTTTTCATTCTTACTGATACATGTTCAAACAACAAAATTTTGATAATCTATGATTTTAGACAACAAGTCTTCTTAGTGAAAAAGAATATAGTAGTTTCTCTAAAAAAAAATAAAAGAGGTGGTTATGAAATTTTTTAGTTGGAGTATGTCCTTAGTAGAGGCAATATTTTCTAGGTTAGGTAGATTTTAGCTTTCTCAGCTTTTATTAATCATGAATTGAGCATCTTTCTGTGTATTCTATAAGTTACCATGAAGTAATGTGAATACTATAAAGGTGCAGTGTCTATAGTACTTTCTATGTATTACTAACTGTATGATTAAATTTTGTATGTGCATCTCTCCTACTTATGTTAAAGTTTTTTTCCTGCTTCAAAGGAATTTAGTATGGTTTGCTACACAGTTTCATGATTTTTGTGTGTGTATGACAGGTTGATGGAATTGTTAAATTTAATGATTATCATTTCTTTGTACGGAACTCCTATATTTAGTAGTGAAGTCAAATTTTCAAAAAGAAAATATATCATTCCTTAAGATGAGAAGTATAGAAAGGTATAGAAAGAAGAGATGTTAAAGGCAGAGGAGAGGGGCAGTCACAAGGTAGGGATTACCTACGAAGGCAAATAACTGAAAATCATGACTGCTTCTCTTCCTTATCCATCTGTTTGTTTATTCTTTCTCACTCATGCCCTGGGATAGAGAACCTAGCAAGTGCAATGGGGAGAAAAAAAGAATAGTCTAGCAATTTAAGCTGAAGAAAGAGGATGGGTAGTTGGGGAGAAAGGCTACAAAAGCGGCAAGTACAGGAGCTACCTAGAGAGGTTGTATTGGTAGATTGGTTATATTAGTTAATAAGTTAATTGGGTAAAAAGCATAGATACTGAGGATGATGGAATTATGTTCCTATCTGAGAAAAGAATTACAAACATGGAATGGGTATGATTGTCCAGAAATAACTTAAGGTGTTAGATTGGAATTGAAAGAGTCAATATGAATCTATAGGTTATAAATTTGTGTACCGTACACATATGTGTAGGTACACGCATGGATGCATATATTTCCTAGCATTGTTCACAGAGAGGATACAGAAACTGGCATCTCAGTAGCAATGAGTGCTCTAAGCATCTAGGTCTTGTTTTATAAATACCATCTTTCACTTAAAAAAAAAATAACCAAGGGGGGTGGGAGTGTAGTTGTAGAGGTGGAAGAAAGGGATGGTAGGGGAAAAACAAAGGAGGAGGCAACAATGCTTGATAAGAAATGTACTCATTACCTTGCTTATGTAACTGTAACCCCTCTGTACAATATTTTCACAATAAAAAACTCATAAGAAAACCAAGGTCTGAATGCATAAAAGTATTATCTAGCTATTTTTTCATTAAGGCATATATTATTGTAATTTGGGTAGCAATATATTATTAAGATTCTAAATAAAATTATTGCAATGGTAAGGAGGACACTTTACCATTGGGAGGAGGAAGTGAAATGACAGGCTACATGGAACTAAAAAAATTTAGTTTCTCCCTAACCTCTCAGGTTTAATTGCATTCAGTTTTCAATCAACAAATCATTGAAAAGACATCAATTAAACTACTTACAAAATCTTAATATGAAAGCCTTGTTTAATCATTGTTAATATAAAAAATGGGAATTTTAAATGAGTGTTTTAAATTATCTTCAAGTTATATTATAACTAGCTCCAAGCAAGGTACTTCCTATTTCTTGGTTAGTTTGGTAGGCCTTTGTGAAAATGATTTTGAATGTTAATTCTGATTCGTGTTAATGTGAGTTAAATTCAGCTATGTGCTTAATAAAGAGAGCAAGATTATCTAGGCTAAATCAGCAATATACCAGAGGTAACATAAGGTAGAAAAAAGCTTGAGAACAAATCTGCTCAAGTACTTTGGAAATTAGAGTATGTTGTCTTTTGAAAATATCATGATGTTAAAATAATACATAGTTACAAAGTTTAAGAAAGGAAGTTTTGAGATATGTACATACTTTTACAAAGGTCTGTTTGGTTTAATACAACTATGGTGCTAATAAACACAAGATCATCATGATCAGTTAAGCAGGTAAGAGTCAGCTACCTCTGAATCCTGACTCTCCTACTAGGTTGTTTTAGTTTTTTGGCTTCTCCAGGCCTCAGTACCTTCAGAAAAAATTGAAATTGAAGTTGATTTTATCTTTACATTGTTCTGTGGTTGCAGTTTGAACTCTGAACCTCATAATATTACTCAACAATCTCTCAAAAACACAGAAACAATATAATTTTCTTTGTGCAAATTTAAAAAATTTAAAATATTTGCCCTTAGAAAAGCTATTCATTCTCTAACTAGTTAGTTTTTCCAATTACTGTTTACCTTATCTGTCAACAGTGATTAATATTTAAGATTTTATTAGTAATATCTATTTTTTTCAATGACTCAGTTGTACAATATTAACTTTTAGATTGTTTTATGTTTTAATGCTGTGTACACATTTATCTAACAGATGTCTAGATGCCTAATTTTTCATTTTCTTACAGTCACTGTGTTGCAATATGTTACTTAAAATCCAGTCTTATGTATGATATTGTTGAACAGGGCTGTTTCACTTATTGGTCTGTCCATCTGTCCATCTTCATTAATTCTCTTTCGTGCAACCCATATCACCTTACATTTTTGAAAATCCATCTGCCCAAATGATACTTCAGTGTGAAACATCCATCTTCAATTTTTTCCAAGAACATTTCAACACAATTTCCCATTATTACTTTTTATTTCCACTTCAGCCTCTAAAGCCTGAGAAACTGTAGCTGGTAATTAAGAAGGCCAATACCTTGGAATTAATATACTACTAATATACTAGTGGAAATTTGAACAGTACTTAATTTTATTTGGCCCTTTTAGATCTTAAGTATTTTCAAAGCACCATTTGTAAACATAATAGCTATATCCCCTCCCCATCTACAGACAAAAGTGATATATTCTACATCCATAAGTTGAAATAATGATAGAATTATGATTAAAATGTAAAAGTCACTGTACTGATTTTTAAAGATAATCTTCCTCTCATTTAGCTATAGTAGACTCAGTCCTGGATAGTTTCTAGATCTTGACTTTTCAAAAAGAGCTGTCTTTTTGCCCTTGGCTATTTTACTTGTAAATTTTTAAAGATTTTTATTTGAATTCACTTATTCTTAAATTTTCCAGATATATGCATCATTCTCTATATATTAGATGTTTAATGTGTTATGTAGACTATATATTTTATGCATATAATTTAGATTCATTTATATTCAAGGGATTAGAAATCTGTTCTTGACTACTACTCCCTTTTATATAAATTTCCCCAGTATTACATTACTCTTGATCAAATAACGGAAATGGAATGTTGCCTGGAGATCTTCTGTTACTTGCTTTTGAAATATTGAAGAATGTTCTAATCTCTTCTCTATGTAAACAGTGCAGTGAACATACTTTTTTGTTCTGGAGAATGGGGAAAGGTTCCCATTTACTTACTATTCTGGCAAACAGAACTCTCTTACATTAGAAAAATCTATTCTCTTACATAACCTAAAGTAAATTATGACTTATTTTTAAGAAATCTTCTGGAGTGCAAACAGTGGCAGTTTTTATTTCTTGTTCTCTTTCTCGTAATATGCTTCCTCAGCAAAGGTTGAGTGTGAGGCTTTGGCTGGGTGATGTGGATGGAGATATGATACGATAGCTCTGCACCCCTAGGAGCTCACAGCAAAGTAAAAGTGTATCAAATATCCTTATTATAAAATTTTTCATAGTTTATTTCTTTATGCTTACTTATGCACAAAACCCATGTTAACTGATGAAATAATAGGTTATAAGCTATATAAGAAATAGTGACTGAGGAATATCTTAAAATATGATGATGATTAAAGGCAGGAAGGAATCTGGGTGAGAAAGAAAAATGACTTATGAGACAGATATCCTTATACAAGAGGTATGCTTTGGAAGGAGACAATGATGATGATGATGATGATGATGATGATGATGAAAAAATTAGTTTACTGCTTTTTTTTTCCACCCAAAGCTGTGTCTTTCCAATCGTCTCTGTCCTCTCTAGTCATAGTTTTCTGCCTAGATAGGTGGTGCTGGCAAGCTTTAACTGTCTGTATTTAAAATGATAGTTGGAGAACTAGTTTGTTGGTAATGTGGATATCATTTTTTCCAGTTCTGAGAAAGTTTATTTTTTGCCCAATTCATAGGATAGAGTAGCCTTATCAGGCTTTACAGTTAATATGGAACTCAGAGTTATTGATCAGGTGATCTCCTGTGGCTTTTAAGTTAGAAGCATTATTGGATCTTCATATAATAAGCAGCATCAATATAGCTAACAAGATTTATTACTCATGATTCTACAAAAATAAATCTGTAACATTAGACATGATTTATGTATTCTTTTCTTTCCTTCCTTCCTTCCTGCCTTCCCTCCCTCCCTCCTTCCTTCCTTCCTTCCTTTATTTTTTTATTTCTGTTTTGGTTAGCACAGGAGCTTGAAGTCTTGTGCTCTATTACTTGAATCATACCTTAATGTTCAGCTTTTGGTGGTTAATTGGAGATGAAAGTCTCTTATTTATTTGACCCAGTGGGCTTTGAACTTCCATCCTCAAATCTCAGCTTCCTGAGGATTACAGACCTTAGTCACTGGTCCCAGTGTGACTCATGTGTCATTTCTAATCCCAAACTGTGATTAAAGATGAAATTGTTATGTTGATTTTTGTCCCTTTTGAAGATAAAAGTATGAGATATATTTTAAATTTTATTTTAAATTTTTGCTGAGATCTAACTCATATCACATTGAATTCACTATTTTTAGTCAACATAGTTTTTGTATATTCACAGTATTGCATCCAATTCCAAAACATTTCCAACACTTAGAAACTCCTTAGCTGGCACTGGTGGCTCACTCCTGTAATGCTAACTACTCAGGGGGCTGAGATCTGAGGATCAAAGTTTGAAGCCAGGCCAGGCAGGAAGGAAATCCTAGAAGACTCTTATCTTCAATTAGCTACAAGAAGGTTGGAAGTCTCAGAGACAGTGCCTATGCCCAGAGTTTAAGCCCCAGGACTGGCAAGAGAGAGAGAGAGAGAGAGAGAGAGAGAGAGAGAGGGAGAAAGAGAGAGAGAGAGGGAGAGGGAGAGGGAGAGGGAGGGAGAGAGGGAGAGAGGGAGAGGGAGGGTGAGAGGGAGAGAGGGACAGAGGAAGAGAAGGAGAGGGAGAGAGGGAGAGAGGTGGGGAAGGGAGGGAGGGAGGAAAGAAAGAGGGAAGGAAGGAAGGAATAAAAAAAGAAGGAAGGAAGGAGGGAGGGAAGGAAGGAAAAGACAGAAGCAAGAGAGAATGAAACTCCTTAACTGTTAATTATTCCCAATCTTTCCTTACACAGTCAGTCTCTGACATATCTGTATGACTCTGTATATTTTGGAATTTCATAAAAATAAATGTATTTTTTAAATTTGTTTAGACACTACCAGAAACATCTTTACAAAATTATGCTACAAATCTGAAAGACAAGAATTCTTTAGTTTCATCTCTCTATAAAGTTATCCAGGAGCCACAAAGTGAGGTAAGTACTCCTATAGTTTATTGTATTAGTGATATTCAGTTGGTTGATTTTTTTGTTAATGGTGAAATATAAACTATTTATGTATACCTGTCTATATCTTTTGCTTTTCTACTTTCTGCTGTGGGATGTTGCAGGAAGAAATCCCTTGGTCTTGAACTTGCCAGCCTGTCAAACTGAGGGAACACATTTCTGATGTTCATAAATTACCCAGTTTGTGATGATTGGTTAAAGCAACACAGAATAGACAATGAATAAACACATATTGTTGGTAGTATGTTAAAACCAAACCAAACAATCCAAGCTGTAGGGATAGTATATGGAGACTGTAAGGAATAGCAGATAGTTTGGCCTATCTGCCACCTTTCTCCCTCCTTCTCATTTTAAGACAGCCAATATATTTTTTAATTAATTAATTTATTTTTATTGTGAAAATACTGTACAGAGGGGTTACAAGTACATGGGAAAGATAATGATACATTTCTTATCAAGCATTGTAGCCTCCTCCTTTGTTTCAATATATTTTAAAGGTAATAATCTATACTACAAATTCTGGTGCTTAAAAATATCATCATTCATAGTAGATATAGAAAAGGACAGGAATTAGTATGGAACATAAAAATACATGGCATTTAGAAAAAGAAAAATAGGCTAATAGAATAGTTAACAAGCAAAGGATAAGGTTGGAGAATTAGACCTATGTCTAATTCTTTCTCAAACTGGATGTTTTTTGAACTGAAAAAAAATGCTTTGAGTAGATTAGTGTTTTAGAGTGAGGAATGAAAAAATTTTAAAGCAAGAAGAGCTCACTATGATAATAGTCTAGGAAAGAAATGTTGAGAACTTAAATATGAAAGAGCAGAGATGGAGAGAGATGGGATCTGAGTTGCACAATTACTTTTGTAGTTGAGTTTGGTGGATGACGTAATGGTTTCTAATACCATTAATCTCATTATTCAATGGTAAGGTAATATACCCCGGAGTACAGGCCTAAATAGATCCATGTACCTTTGGAACAAAACTATCCAGACAAGGGCCTTGTTATTTGAGTAGTTAATCTCTCATGGAGGAAGGCATAAAATAGCTAGATTCTATTTAAACTAAAAACATGTTGTAAATTCTAGATGTTGAAGGGATTATATTGACAAGGAAATGAACTATAACTGGAATAAACAATTGTATTTGACTTGCCTTTTCCCCCCTCTACAATACTGAATGGAATGTATTGGTAGACTGTTTAAACTTTTTTTGTTTTTTTTTTGGTCAGTCGTGGGGCCTGAACTCTGGGCCTGTGCGCTGTCCCTCAGCTCTTCAGCTCAAGGCTAGCACTCTTCTACTTGAGCTACAGTGCCACTTCCCGCTTTTTCTGCTTACGTGGTGCTGAGGAATCGAACCCAGGGCCTCATGCATGCAAGGCAAGCGCTCTACCACTGAGCCACCTTCCCAGCCCTCATCACTTGGTTTTTGCTCCCCAAGTATATCTTTTTACATTCACACTCTGTCATTAATACTATTACTATTATTGTCATTTTAGGTCTAGATTCTACATTGCTAAAACATTCAATTTTGTGTTTTTGAGCTTGGTTCGTCTTGCTCAACATGATGCTCTCCAGTCGTATCCATTTCCCTGTAAATAACACGATTTCATTCTTTATGTAATTTTTTTGGGGGGGGATCCGGTTGTGGGGCCTGAACTCTGGGCCTGGGCGCTGTCCCTCAGCTCTTCAGCTCAAGGCTAGCACTGTACCACTTGAGCCACAGTGCCACTTCCAGCTTTTTTCTTTTTGCTTATATGGTGCTGAGAAATCGAACCCAGGGCCTCATGCATGCAAGGCAAGCGCTCTACCACTGAGCCACCTTCCCAGCCTTCTTTATGTAATTTTATAATTTACATATCCCACATTTTATTTTATTTTTTTGTCTGTCGTGGGCCTTGAACTCTGGGCCTGGGTGCTGTCCCTGAGATATAGCACTCTACCATTTGAGCCATAGCACTACTTCCTGTTTTCTGGTGGTTAATTGGAGATAAGAGTCTCACGGACATTCCTGCCTGGGCTGCCTTCAAACTGTAATCCTCAGATCTCAGCCTTCTGAGTAGCTAGAATTACAGGCAGATTACAGGCATGAGCTAGCAGTGCTTGCCACATTTTCTTTATCCATGCGTCAGTTGTTGGGAATGTAAGCCTATTTAACAACTTGACTATTGTGAACAGTACTGAATTAAGCATGAGTTTGCAAGTATCTCTCATATGTTGATTTACACTGCTTTGGAATTAAGATCAAGTGTTGAAACAGGATCATATGTGGGTCTATTTTTATTTTTATGTTTATGAATGTCCATAATGATTGGACTAGTTGACCATCTTGCCTTCAGTGTTTATTTTTCCCTGTTTTCTTGCCAGCATTTCTTGTTTGTTTGTTTGTTTTGATGAACACCATCCTGACTGGTATAAGATGAACCTCAGTGTAGTTTGGATTTGCATCTCCTTATAGCTAAAAGTGTTGTACATTTCTTTATATATTTATTAACAATTTGTATTTCTTTTGAGAAGTATTTGTTCAATTAATCCGCCCATTTTAATTAGATTATTTGTTCTTTTGCTGTTTCTTTTTTTTAACTTTTTGTATACCCTAGATATTAATCTTTTATCTATTGAGTAGCTGATAAAGATTTTCTTCCATTCTGCAGGTTGTCTTTTGTGATATTTGTTTCCTTTGATGTACAGAAGCTTTTTAATTTAATACAATTCAATTAGTCAGTTCTTGTTCTTATTTCTTTGGCAATTAGAGTCCTATTCAGAAAATAATTGCTTATGCTTATATCTTCTATTGTTTTCCTGTTACAATTTCAAAGTTTCAAGTCTTCATTAAAATTTTTGATCCATTTTGAATTAATTGTTGTACAGAGTAAGATATGGGTCTAGTTCCAGTTTCCTACATGTAAATAACCATTTTTTGTTGATGGGTTTATGTATAAGTTTGGCTTTTTCATCACATGTCAGATGGCTGTAGTTGTGTAGACTTATTTTAGAGTCATATATTCTGTTTAAGTTTATCTTCCTATCTGTTTTTGTGCCAGTATACAATGCCGTTTTTGTGACTATGACACTGTAGTATAGATTAAAATTTAACATTGTGATACCTCCATTGTTGATCTTTTTGCTGAGGATGACTTTTGCTATTCAGGGTCTTTTATGTTTTCATATGAACTTTAGGATTTATTTTTTTTTCTGTTTTTATGAAGAATATCATTAGGATTTTGATAGGTATCACGCTAAATCTGTAGATTGCTCCTGGTAATACAGGCAATTTCACAATATTACTTCTGCCATCCCATGGACATGAGAAGTCTTTCTTCTGATGTCTTCTTCAAGGTTTTATGGTTCATTGTAAAGCTTTTCCACCTCCTTAATTAAATGTATTTGTAGATAGTTTTTGGAAGCCATTGTGAATATCACTGTTTCCTGATTTCTTTCTTAGCCTATTCATTGCTGAAAAGCTACTGGTTTTGTATATACTATTTTATGGGAGAGGGAAAGAAGATAATTCCATACTACATCTTAAAATAAAATTTCAGTGTTTAGATTGTCAAAGGGCAATTAACTATGGTTACAATAGAGCTCTAGTACTAGGGACTCTGTAGTTATTGCTCAGCCATGCTATATTGCAGTCATTGTTGTCACATGCTGCCAAATGATAAGCTCCAGAAGAAGATATGACAGTAACTCCTTCCTGAGTTCCAATTTCAATTTTTTTACATTGTAGCTAATCATTTATAGATTTGAAGATAATATTCTAGAAAGAAAGGACATTAAAGACAAAACTTGCCATAATTTAGCTATTTTTTAAATAATTTAAAAATCCAGGCACTAGTGGCTCATGCCAGTGATCTTAGCTACTCAGGAGACTTAAGGTCTAAGGATCGTGGCTCAAAGCCAGCCCATGCAGGAAAGCCTGTGAAACTTTTTATCTTCAACTAACTACCAAAAAGCCAGAAATGAAGCTGTAGCTTAATTGGCAGAGTGTTAGCCTTGACCACACAAAGCTCAGGGACAGTGCCCAAGCCTTGAGTTTCCAGTATGTGCTTGCATGTGTGCGTGCACACAATTAAAAAGACATGTTTAACAATAAATAAAAAAAAGTCTGGATAAATGGGATTGCATTAAACTGCAAAGCTTCTGCATGGCAAAGGACATAGCTAGCAAGATAAATAGAAAGCCCACAGATTGGGAGAAGATCTTCACTAGCTATACAACAGACAAAGGTCTCATATCAAAAATATACCTAGAGCTCAAAAAATTACCCCTCCCATAATATATCCCCAGAGAAACAACCACCCCATTAATAAGGGGTTAAAGAATTAAAAAGAGACTTCTCTGGAGAGAAAATAAGAATGGCCAATGGACACATGAAGAAATGCTCAGTGTCTCTAGCCATAAAAGAAATGCAAATCAAAACCACCTCACCCCAGTTAGAATGGCCATTATAAAAAAAACAAATAATAACAGATGCTGGCTGGGATGTGGCCAAAAGGGAATACTGCAGCACTGTTGGTAGGAATGGTTCAACCACTCTGGTAGGCAGTATGGAGGTTCCTCAAAAGACTAAAAACATAGAACTCCCTTATGAGCCAACAATCCCACTCCTGGGTATTTATTCAAATGATCTCAAACTAGACCACACTAGAGCTACCAGCACAACTATGTTCATTGCAGCATTATTTATCATAGCTAAGATATGGAACCAACCCAGATGCCCCTCAGTAGATGAATAGATCAAGAAAATGTGTTATATTTACACAATGTAATTTTATGCTTCTATCAGAAAGAATGACATTGCCCCTTTCATAAGGAAATGGAAAGACTTGAAAAAAATGGTAGTAAGGGAAATAAGCTAGACTGAAAGAAACATAGGCTCTATGGTTTCCCTCATTTGTAATAACTGGTATATGCCTAAGTTAGTCCTGACAGAGAATCATAGTAGGTCAAGAGCTATGTATATATGGCCATATAAAATGATGCTAATTAAAATGAACTCCAAGACACAGAAACAACAGATCTTTTTTTTTTTTCAGCTGTCAACCTTGATGTCGCCAATGTACTGTATCTAGTTCTTTCTTTCTTTCTTTTTTTTTTTTTTTGGGGGGGGGGGGTCCGGTCGTGGGGCCTGAACTCTGGGCCTAGGCACTGTCCCTCAGCTCTTCAGCTCAAGGCTAGCGCTCTACCACTTGAGCCACAGTGCCACTTCCGGCTTTTTTCTTTTTGCTTATGTGGTGCTGAGGAATCAAACCCAGGGCCTCATGCATGCAAGGCAAGCTCTCCCACTGAGCCACCTTCCCAGCCCTCTAGTTCTTTCTTCTTATTTAATTTCATTTTTCTTGTTCCATTAGTTTATCCCTGGCAATCTCTGTCTTTGATTCTGGTATCGCCCATCTTGTATATACATTTATCTGATTGGGAGAAGGGAAGGGAAATAACAAAATGCATTTTGTTGAACGAAGTACAAAAGATGACCCATTGCAACAATGATACTCACAGGACACTATGTCGAAAATGAACTTTACAACTTTGTGGGGGGAGGGAAGGGATAGTGGGAGAACAACAATGGAGTTGGTAACAATGTTCAATGAGAAATGTACCTTACTCATGTAAATATAACTCCTCTGTACAGCATCTTTACAGTAAAATAAAATTAAAAAACAAAAAACAAAAACAAAAGACATGGTTTAAAAATCAATAATTCCGTAGAGTTATAGAATATTTTAGTTTATAGATGCTTCTTTTTGTAATTATATTGCACAGTCTTCCCATCAGTGGTTAAAAACTGTATTAAATAGCTTGGCACAGAATAGATTAATTCAAAAATATTAAAATGTTTACATAATAGTTACCAATCTGAGAAACTTTCATATTTTATATAACAGTATCATTCAAATGTAGTCTAGTTCTTGAATTAATAATTTGTCTTTTTTCCAGTTGCTAGAACCTGTCTGTCACCAGCTCTTTGAATTCTATCGTAGTGGAGAGGAACAGTTGCTTCGATTTACACTGCAGTTTCTCCCAGAACTGATTTGGTGCTACCTTGCAGTCTCAGCCAGCAGAAATGTGCATAGCAGTGGATGCATTGAAGCTCTTCTCCTAGGAGTTTACAATTTGGTTTGTATTTAGTGTGCTAAAATGTTTTTTTGACAAAATCAAATGCATAACGTTTGCAATTGCTTTTCATTTTAGTAAAGCTAATATTAGTAAAAGTTAATAGTTGTTTTCTATGCATTCTCCTGGAAATAACTGTTTATGGAGAAAAGCATACATGTAATTATGTAGATATACCCTTCTAGACTGATGGAAGACTGAGCATCAGAACCATTTTAATATTTTTATAAAGGTAACTGAAAAGTCACAGTGTAGCATTGAAAAATTTAAACTTAAAGAAGTCCATTTAAACTTATCTATGGGTTTTTTTTCTGATAGTCACAAAAAATTAGTGGGAAAGATATAGTCTAATATTTACCAACCATGGTCCATAAAATCTGGAATATCTCCAGAGTTAGCACCATTTGTTTAACATATAGTTTACATTACTAGTAGTTTGTATATTAATTATGATGTCCTATACTTAAGGTTTATACTAAAGTAGAAATTTAGGATCCTTTTCTTGTCAGATCTCATGTTTAAATCACTAATTAATTTAGAAAATATAACTTTTTACATGAGGTTCAATAGTAACTAAGCTTGTGTATCTATGTGTAAGCCATACTGAAAACAATATTAGTTTTCTTTCAGTGTTCTTTTTTGTAAATAGTGCTAGTGACTAATCCCCTGATCCCAAAAGTATGCTATACCACTGAGCTACATCCTCCGGGCTTTCCTTTATTTTAAAGGTGCAACAAAATGTACATTGTAACTACTGGTGCTTATGAATAATGAATAGTAGATTATGTATATTTAAGATTTTAAATTGATTTTAACATTTCTTTGTACTCAGGTTTTCTTTTTTAAAAAACTAGTCTAAAAATTTAATTTTTAAGTGACATTATATGTGAAAAGGTAAATATTTTAAGATATTCTCTTTCACTTTTATAGGAAATAGTTGACAAACAGGGACATAGCAAAGTGTTGAGTTTTACGATTCCATCTTTATCCAAACCATCTGTCTATCATGAAGTAAGTGACATTTTATCAAAATGAGTTCATTGTATCCTAATCATTGATAGTGCTATATATTAGGGAGTGCAAAAGGAAAAGGATAAGTTTATTAGTACTTCAAAAATTACAAAGTACCACACTAAGTGTACTATTTCCCACATGAAATGAAAAGTGAAAATTATTAAAATTTAAACTGATATTTGATGATAAGAAAACTATTGAAAGTATCATTCCCCTCTGGGTGTACGAGGACATCCCTATAATCCTAGCATGAAGTAGTTGAATGCTCAAGTCTCCAGAGTTTAAGGCCAGCTCCACTACTTAGTGAGTGTGAAGCTAAGCTGAGCTATATAGCAAAATTTTGCCTTGAAAAGCAATACAAAGAAAGTATCTAGAGATGGGAGGGAAGAGATGGTAGGGGAAAAACAAAGGAGGAGACAACAATGCTTGATAAGAAATGTACTCATTACCTTGCTAATGTAACTGTAACCCCTCCTCTGTACAGTATTTAAAAAAATAAAGTCAATCTCCACAGGACTTCCTAAGATACCTTGTTTTATTCCTTCACATGGCAAATAAATATTGCAAATAAATCTAAAAAAAAGTATCTCTTTTGAATATTTAGAATGTTTTTATCTATCTTTTGTGATAGAGAAGACTCTGTGTATGTGTATATGAATTGTTCAATCTCATAGTACAAGTTTAAGAAATTAAACTTACTGATCATTAATAGTTTCGTTTTAAATTTTTTGTTAGGTAGTATGAATATTTTTAAGATGCGTGATGTTGCTGGTAGCCATCCTTGGTGCTCTGTATATTTTAAATGTCACATCTTCAGCAGAATAGCTGTGTTTTTCTTTCTTCAAATATCTTTTTCTTTAGCCGTCCAGCATTGGCTCCATGGCTCTGACTGAGAGTGCACTGTCGCAGCATGGTTTGTCAAAAGTCGTGTACAGTGGGCCTCACCCTCAGAGGGAGATGCTGACCGCACAGAACAGGTATATTCTGCAGATACAACTTCTATCCTATCACACTGATTAAAAAATTATTTTAATAGCTTTACAATAATAGTGTGTGTGATGAGTTAAATGGACCAATTTATTTGCATATGGAGTCATTTTGTAGGACAGGAACACATCTAGACTTGTCACTGTAATTTGCTTCAGATGTCAACTGGAAACTTGAATATTTTTTAAAAATTTATTGTTAAGGGGATGAACAAGGGGGTTACAGTTACATAAGTAAGGGGAAATTGAATATTTAAGGAGGCTTTGTTAGTTGTCAAGTCTTCTTTTCCCTTTAGTTATTGGTATGCATTACTGTAGAAGCCTGTTCTAATACAAAATACCTTTGAATACAAAATACAAAAACTGTTCTCTCCTCTATTATGGTTAGCTTTTTAGAATTCTAAAGCTTTGTTAATGTTTCTTTGATTTGTCTTCAGGTTTGAAGTGTTGACATTCCTTTTATTGTGTTACAATGCTGCCTTAACCTATATGCCCAGTGTTTCTCTTCAATCATTGTGTCAAATTTGTTCAAGGTAAATTCAAATTCAAATGTTTTTAACATTGAAATATGTAAATCTAGGATTGTTAGTTACAAATCCAAGCTCCTTTTGTATAATCATGTTTCAAATATTAACTAATGCAAAGCTGATATAAAGCCTAGCCTACTCAGCACATAGAAAGCTCCTTACAAATGATACCCAAAAAATATGAAGAATATGAAACTGAATAACATTTTAATGGAATATTTAACCCCCAAAAAGATGATGCTGTATATCTAAAAGGATGGAATGGTTGTGATCTTTTTAATCTTTTGGAATGTGGTTGGGTTTTTGTTGTTGTTGTTGTTTGCTTACTTTGTACTGTGATCTAACTTGGTGCCAAGAACTAAATAAGAAATACATGTTTTTAAGTTTTTCTTTAAAAATTGTCCTGCACTGTTGGTTAAATAAACTATAATTATGTGAACCTTAAACATTTATTGGTTTATAATAGAATTTAATGCCTGGGTACATTAGCCTATAACTATAATTTCAGCTGCTTGGGAGGCAGAGATCTGGAGTATTGTGTTTGAGACCAGCTTGGGCAAAAAAACTATACCCCATCTCAACAATAAGCCAGGCATGGTGGCATGCATCACTGGTCCCAGCTTCATAGGAAGTGTAGGGAAGAGAATTGTGGTCCAGCCTAACCTAGGAAAAAACATAAGACTATATCTAAAAAATACAGCAGCAAGGCGCCAGTGGCTCACAGCTGTAATCCTAGCTATTCAGGAGGCAGAGATCTGAGGATCACGGTTCAAAGTCAGCCCAGGTAGGAAAGGCTGTGAAACTCTAATCTCCAATAAACCACAAAAAAAAAAAAAAAAAAAGGAAGTGGCGCTGTGGCTCAAGTGGTAGAACTCTTGCCTTGAGCTTGAAGAGCTCAGGGACAGTGCTCAGGCTGAGTCCAAACCCCATGACTGACAAATAAATAAATAACTACAGCAAAACAAGCTAAACATGTGGCTTAAGTGGCAGAGCACTTGACTAATAAGTGCAAGACCTGGAGTTCAAGCCCTAATATCACAAACAAACAAATAAGTAAACAAAAACATCAAATTGTTTAAGTGCATTTAAGAGATAAGAACTTGGCTGAGAACAAGTGCTAAAAGCACTTGCCCAGTACTTCAAGTAAAATAAATATGTAAATAAATAAATACATAAGCAAGCATTTAATAATAGCATATTTGCTATGGTACTAACCATATACACCATATGGTATGTTATGACTCCTGTGTTTATTGAGTGACCAAAACATTAACAATACTTAATGCCTAATTTGTAGAATTATGATTTATTTAAAATTTTCTCATTTGCAATTTTGCATGATGTTTTAATTTTGTGATAAATATATTACCTTTTCTTTTTTTTAAAAAAAAAGAAACAAAACAAAATGATTATTGCCTTTCATGATTCAAGTAAATAAGGTAAATGTTATGGCATTACAGAAGTTATAGGAAATTCATATTTGAAGAGTTTATTTAGAGAATGAAACTTAGCCAGAGAAGTTGTTATAAATATGCTGTCCAAGAACCATTGGAATCATAACAATAGACACAAAAATAAAGAGTTGTTTTAGCAAGGCAAAATTTACTTCTGGGGAAGGATGTCCCATCAGCCAAAAATCTGGCAAGCAAGTACACAGAGCAGGAAGGCTGCTCCCGTTTATCCTTAACACAGCAGGACCTGCCCCTCTGCTCAGATTAGTTGAACTCCAGTTCACAGTCTGCTCATGATAGGCTAGTTTGAATTGGGTAAAATGTATTTACGTAAGGTGACATTGAAATAAGATTAACAGAATACAAATAGCCTCAAAATACACCCATACCCTCTGCTATTTCTTGAACAATCTGAGGTGCATCTTAATTCTATCTATAAAGAAACAATGTACATTTCAACAGGAACTTTTAAGGACCACACTTCCATAGAAAAGACAGTTTTTTTCACAAAGGATCCACTGAGCAACACCTATCAATCAAATAAATTAAAACAAAACTTAAAAGAAGCAGAATTTGACACAAAATGGGACTAAAAGCCTTGAAGATCACATAGAGAAAGAAAACAAGAAGAGGATGCATGTTAGAGAAGTTGAGAAATAGTCTTTCAGATGATTCCTGAGTTGGACGACCTTACTATTTCAAGAACAGTCTACCAAGTGTTACACCTCTTACTTACCTAGTCTTTCTATTTTAATTGTTTTGAGATGCTGGGTATGAACCTAGAGTCCTGAACACATTAGACAAGCACTCTAATTGCTGAGCTAGAACCTAATGCCAATGGAGACATTTTTAAATTTTTATGTGTTTTAAAAAGTAATAATAGTTATTATTATTGTTATTATTTTGCTAGCCTTAAGGCTTGAATTTTGGGCCTGGACACTGTCCCTTGAGCTTTTGTGCTCAAGGTTAGCACTTGAGCCACAGCTGCACGTGCAGCTTTTTGTGGCTAATTGGAGATAAGAGTCTCATAAACTTTTCTGCCTGGACTGGCTTCGTTTTGCAATCATCAGATGTCAGCCTCCTCTGAGTAGCTAGGATTACATGTGTAAGCCACCTGCACCCAGCAAATGATATGTTTTACTAGCATAGTATATTGAACATATTATTTCTATATGTAATATAATATTAAAACACATCTAGAATGAGATATTTTCATGTTAAATCTTCTTTAACTTTTTTTTTTAACCAATCCTGGGCCTGGGTGCTGTCCCTGAGTCTCTTTGTACTTAAGGCTAGCACTCTACCACTGAGCCTCAGCATCACTTCTGGCTTCTCTGAGTAGTTAATGGGCAATAAGAGTCTCAGGGACTTGGCCGGCTTCAAACTGGGATCCTCAGATCTCAAGATCTCAGCCTCCTGAGTAGTTAGGATTAAAGGCATGTGCCACCAGTGCCCAACTTTTTTTTTTTTTGTCGGTCATGAGGTTTGAACTCTGGGCTTAGGTGCTGTCCCTCCACTCTTCAGCTCAGTGCAAATGCTCTACCACTTGAGCCACAGCGCCACTTCAGTTTTCTGGTGGTTTTTTGGAGATATAAGTCTCATAGACTTTCTTGTCTGGGTTGACTTTGAACAACAATTCTCAGATCTCAGCTTCCTGAGTAGCTAAAATTATAGGCATAAGTCACCAGCACCTGGCTTAACATTGAATTCTTTTTTTTTTTAATTGTGAAAATACTGTACAGAGGGGTTACAATTACATGGGCAAGATAATGAGTACATTTCTTATCAAGCATTGTTGCCTCCTCCTTTGTTTCCCCTCCCCATCCCATCCTCCCCCCCACAACTCTCTTCCCCCCCACCAAGAATTCTTGACTTCATTCTCCCCCTTTCTTTTTCATTCATCTACTCCTTTCTCTTTGACTCCACCCCACCCCTTTCAAAAACCTGCTTCCTGATATTCATTTTGTTGAACTTTGACTTTGCCTTTCTAAGGGATTTGAGTTCAAGGGAGTTTTTTTTTTTTCCTTAACATCCAAATGAGAGGATGATAGAAGGGAAAAACAATTTATAAGATAAAGATATGATAAGGTCAATTTGTTTGTGTCTCATTTCACTGTAGCTCAGAGAAAACTTGGTCATAGGCTGAATTATAAAGGCCATTCCTTCAGGAATACTAGCTTTAGGAATAAATTCATGCAGCATTTTTCACCTGTAGAACTTAAAACACACTACCTAGCCTTCAGCACCAAATCTGGGACAATGCCCAGGCCCTGAGTTCAAGCCGTAGGGCCAGCACAAAAACAAACAAACAAAACAAAAAACCCATTAAAGTCCAGGTCCCACTGTTAAGGACTGAAGCATTATCTGAGATGATTGGATCCAAAAATACATGTGTGCATATGTATTATTTATACATTTATTTGTAATATGTATATTTGAGCCTTCATAGGTGCTCTAAAACTCTGCTCTAATAGGATCCAGCATAGAAGTTGCCTTGAAATTACTGATGGAAAAATTAGTAAATAACATGTGTTGATGATTTTTTGTTCTCTATAATTTGAATACACTGCCTTTTAGTAATTACGTGTGTGTGTGTGTGTGTGTGTGTGTGTGTGTGTGTGTGTGTGTGTGTGTACATGGTACTGGAGCTTGAACTCAGAACCTCATTTTTGCTTGGCTTTTTTGCTCAAGGCTGGTGCACTACCACTTGAGCCACAGCTCTATTTCTGTGTTTTTGCTGTTTAATTGGAGATATAAGTCTCTTCAGTTTTTCCTACCGGATTGGCTTTGAACCAAGATCCTCACATCTCAGCCTCCTGTGTATCTAGAATTACATCTGTGAGCCACAGTTGGCCCTCATTAATGTAATCATTTTTACACTATGGGTAGAGAATTGCTAGATACCAATTTTACCTAACCAGGTAAAAGAATTGAGTAATCCTTAAACAATTTTAAAAATAAAGTGAAGCCATAGATTGCTTAAAAAATAGCTGTAGGATTTTTTTTTTTTTTTTTTTTTTTGTCAGTCTTGGGGCTTGAGCTCTGGACCTGGGCGCTGTCCCTCAACTCCTCAGCTCAAGGCTAGCACTCTACCACTTGAGCCACAGTGCCACTTCTGGTTTTCTGGTGGTTTTTTGGAGATAAGAATCTCATAGACTATCCTGCCCAGGCTGGCTTTGAACCTTGATCCTCAGATCTCAGCCTCCTGAGTAGTTAGGATTACAGGCATGAGTCACTGGCTCCTGGCAGCTGTAGGATTTTTAACTCTAGATTTTAGTAGAAATTTATTAGATTAATTTATACTATCAAGAAGAATTAATTATGCATAATTTCTCACTAGCTGTAGGGATGTACAACTGGGAGAAGTTATTCAAAAGACTTAGGCTGTTTTAAGTAATAATAGCTGTTAGGCCACAGGACCTTATATAAAGAGGAACTCTGTCAACTTGTCACTTTTGTCCTGTTTACTTGTGTGAAGTTTTACTTTTTATTTTAGATTTTGTATCACTCTGATATCAGTGGAAAAGTCAAACTATTCATTTATCTTAACTCCTG